CCCGCCACAACGCCCAGCTATTTTTTTGGTTGTAGCCGTCATTGTTGTTTGGCGGGCCTGGGCTGGATTCGAACCTGGCACCTTAGGTGTATGTGGCTGGCGCCTTAGCCACTTGAGCCACAGGCGCCGAGCCACTTTCTCCTACCTTAAGGGACAGCAGGTGAGAGGTGGAAATGCTTCTTCCTCTTAGCTTCTCAGAGGCCACTGTTTCTACTTCACCCATCAGGTTAAGAGAATGTGTCAAGTTCCTACAGGCCAGAGAGCATGTTGTCTTTTTGCCTCTTCATCAGAGTCCAGCAGTTGTGAGCCTGCCTGTTATCCACCAGAGGCACTCCTGGGTCTCTCATTTGTGCAGAAGTGTTCTCGTTTGGTTTCTTCAGTTGACATTAGCAGCCAGGGTCTCATCTGTGATGGTCAGCATGCAGGCCTCATCTTTGCTCCTCTCCATGAGCTGTTACTCTGTATATGATGGGCTCAGTGGTGTCACTCCAGTGGCTACTCTGGATCCTTACTCCCCATTTCCCTTGCTGGCAGCCTTCCTTAGTAGTTGTTACCTGGCACTATAGGTCTTTTTTTGAGACAGAGTCTTAAGCTGTCGCCCTGGGTAGAGTGCTCTGCTGTCACAGCTCACAGTAACCTCAAACTCTTGGGCTTAAGCCATTCTCTTGCCTCAGCCTCCCAAGTAGCTGGGACTACAGGCACCCACCACAATACCCACCTATTTTTTGGTTGTTGTTGTTGCAGTTGTTGTTGTTTGTTTGGCAGGCCCATGCTGGATTTGAACCCGTTAGCTCTGGTGTATGTGGCTGGCGCCCTAGGCCACTTGAGCCACAGGTGCTGAGCTGGCACTATAGGTCTTTTCTCGTGTCACTGAAGATGGGGCTTCTCCTTTCCGTTTTTTTTTTTTTTTCTGTGATCAGTTGGTTTCAAGGACAACAGGCTAACATTTAAATGACTAACCCTAAACATAAATTGCCTTAGTACCTACAAATTTCAGTGAGGGAAGGTCATAGCATGAGGACTGTAATTTGTTTAATTTGCCAAGTGACTTTCTGGATGTTCTGGAGGTTTTGAGTACATTTCCTTTTTTCTGAGCATGAAATAATTTGTGTTATTACTTCTTTCTGCAGTTGTCCCTCACATTACTGATGCGATCCAGGAGTGGGTCATGAATCAAGCCAAGGTGCCTGTGGAGGCTAGTAAGGAACAGCCCCAAGTATGTGTTATTGAGGTAAGCATTGAACATTTTTTTTTGAGATAGAGCCTTAAGCTATTGCCCTGGGTAGGGTACTGTGGTGTCACAGCTCACACCAACTTGAAACTCCTGGGTTTAAGCGATTCTTTTGCCTCAGCCTCCCGAGTAGCTGGAAGTACAGGCGCCCGCCACAATACCTGGCTATTTTTTTGTTTGGTTGTAGTTGTCATCGTTTGGTAGGCCTGGGTCGGATTCAAACTTGCCAGCTCTGGTGTATGTGGCTAGCGCCTTAGCTGCTTGAGCTACAGGTGCCACCCATGAACATTTTTTCTTTGTTATAAACTTCTATCCTGCTGAATCTTTAAGGATTTTTTTTTTTTTTTTTTTTTTGAGACAGAGCCTCAAGCTGTCCCCCTGGGTAGAGTGCCGTGGCATTACAGCTCACAGCAACCTCCAACTCCT